CTTTCAGGAAGTCAGGAAGAAGAAAATTGTCAATATTAGTCAAAAACACCAAGGTATAGAAAATTTAGACTATAACTCCCAGAATCCCTCCGACAACACGGTCACAGGCCATGCTGGATGGGGAATTTTGGGATTTGTAGCCAGTGAAAGCAACATTCCCAAGATGTGAAAGGCATGTAAGAATTCAAGTTTTATTTACTAGGATTCTTGCCCTCTTTCATCCCTATTCAAGTTGACAGGCTTCCAATCCAGAGGGCCTGTGTGTGTGTGTGTAAGGATAGGAGGGGGAGAAAACAATATACCCTGTTAGCAAGCCAGCCCTTGTTTCCTGTCATTTTAGGACCACGGATTTACTTCAAACTCTCATTGCAAGACTACATCATAAAAATAGAGGAGATGTGAGTTTTCACCTACTTTCTGTTTTTCTTTCCTCCGCACCAGCTGCAGAAGTTGGAATTAGAAACAGTTGTGGAAGAAAAATAACACAAAGGAGTAGGGAGTGTTGCCACAAAAATGGAAATGCTAAAATTGAAACCATATGGGCAGACCCAGTGAAACAGAGCAGAATATTGAAAAGATTTAAAACCCACACTTGTATGAAACCTTAAGGGGCAGGGGAACAATCTGTGCAGTTTTTACTCACAAAATATGATATGAGCCATAATCAATAACATTTTTGTAAATAAGCGAGACCGCAATCCGACACATACTTAATCTGGGAGCGATTCCCGATGAGCACAGTGGCCCTTAGTTCCTAATATGCATGGATTGCATTGCAGTGCTCGCCTCACCAAAATCAATAGGGCTTACTTTCAAGTAAACATTAGGCCTGGACAGCTAGTGAAACACACTTTCTTTATACATAACACGCAAAAGGATTCGTCACTTTGGAGAGTATGGATGAAAAAAACCTTTTTCCTCCTCATGGAGGCAACCAAACAAATACAGAGGAATCTAAAGGGAATATGCACACTCATTTGAACGTTCAGAAATCTAGACAAGTTATCTTTCAATTTTCTTTCTCCACAATGGTTTCCCTCACTCTACTGTGAATGATGAATTGAGCAGAAAATTCAGCCTAAGAATGCATTTGATCCACCCAAGAGGTTCAGCAAGAACAACACAGGCACTGTGTCCCTACAGTCAGGAGGTCGGTTCTAAGGTCAAAAGTTTGTGGTTACTCACCACCCAAGAATTGGATGCCTCCAGCCACCCTGCCCACAGTCCTGGAGATAAGCTCAGACACACAGCATCCCATGAGTGCGGTGAGGGCCACCAGAAGGAGAAGACCGCAGCCCAGCCCCGTCACCACAGTGCAGATCCTCCATTCCACACTTGGAATGGCCTGGAAAGATGCATAGCGTCCACACTGCTCCACCATCACCGTGATCTGGCGGCTCTCATCTCGGACAGGATAGGAACATCTCCGGAAAGTGCCAAAGGACACCGGCTTCTCCAGTTGAGACCCCAGTAGCCAGTAAGGCATGAAGAACCCCACACAGGAGATGCCGGCGCAGATGAAGGAAAAAAATGCCCATATCACTCCTGTGCACGTAAGGCTCGATGCCATTTTGCCACCCATGGCGAAAACGGGACAAAACGGGAGTCTGGGACACGATTCTTGGTGTGCAATGCAGGTTGGGAGGAGGAGAACTGTGGATAATCCAAAAGCCCTTAGTTCCAGTAACTCCCCAGTCCAATGACACCTTCTGTAAGAGCCATCACATTTGGTGCTTTACTCATTGAGAATAAAGTTCCTGGGGCAGCCAAGACTTTTTGGCTTGATCCTTTCTCAATGGCAGCTGAAGTTGTTGCAGTGAGAAGCAATGGGGGGGGGGGGGGGG